CCCCCTGCCCTGAGCTGAAACGAAGGGGCCAACGCACACACCCTCAGCCCTGCTTCACTCAGTGCTTCTCTTCTTCCTCTCTGCTGGGTCCTTCTGGGAGGGGGCAGGGGGTGCCCAGCAGCCTGTCTGTCACCCACTTGGCTGACCCAGCTGTTTTCTGTACCCCCAGACAAAGGTGAGAACGGGGAGCCCTATCAGAGGAGGAAGGGCATGGGGAGCAGCCTGCCAGAGACCCCCCCGGCGTTCCCAGCGTCCAGGGCCCCCACGGCTGGTACCAGCAGCTGGAGACGTATCCTGCTCATGATCCTGGCTATAACCATCCACAACATCCCAGGTGAGTCCTGCCCAGATCTCCATCCTGCCCTGCTCTCCATCCTGCCCTGCTCTCCATCCTTCCCAACTCTCCATCCTGCCCAGGCCCGGGGTCGGTGCCGCTCCAGGGGGATCCCGCAGGGGCAACGTTGGGTGGGTGCTGGGTCCCTTCTGGCAAGATCTGCCCTGTCAAACCTCCTCCCCTGGGTGGGGCTGAACCACATCAGGGCTTGGCAGCAAGGGAGGGGGCTCGGGGGGAGCCTGTGGGCTCGAGTTCCCTGCTGACCCCTCAACATCTGCAGCCTCACTCGCTACCGTCAGCCTCTCGTGGGCAGGAATTGTAAATCCGAGGCTATATTGAGAAAGATGATGCTGGAAAGGCAACAAATTCTGGTCTCATTTCTCTCCTGGTCTGGGTAGCAGCAAGAGAAGTGTTTTCAAGCACTGTTTTTCTCTGTGGGAACACGTACAGTTGGGGGTTTCCTATTCCAGGGATGGAGTTTGGCAATAGATGGAGAGCTGCAGAGCCCCGAGTCCTGGAGGGCTGTGTCCTGCCAGGGGCTGGGCTGGGAGACTATGGAAAAAATGTGATAAAAAGAGATAAATGTGTAACAGCTGAGGACACGTGGCTGCTTTGCAGTTCTTGGTGATGTTGGAAGTGGAATATGGGAACCTTTTCAAACACTTGCTTTGCTGTTTTCCCTCTCTCCTCTTCTTTCTGCCTGTCTCAGGTTGGAGCCTGGATGGGGTCTGGGGTGCAGGGGGAGTAGGAAAAGGCTTTTCTGCATAACCTGGGGGAAAATGCCAAGAGCCTTTGGAAGAGCCCTGATTCCAAGCTACTTGGCAAGGAGTTGGCTTCTGTTGGCCACGTGAGCTGCTGTGGCACTGGGGTTGCTTTGACCCCCCCTGAGCCACGGAGGGGGAGCTGCCCCACGTCCCCACGTGTGCTCTTCAGTTTTGAGAGTGACTTTTATCTGATTCCAGAGGATCTGTCTTAAATCCCAACACTGGATGGGCTTTCTGGGTGAGGAGGCTCCTTATGGGTGTGGAGTCACAGGTCCTGCCTTTCTCCAGCTCAGGATGGAAGAGCAGGGAATAATCAAAGCAAATATTTTGGGCTGCCTTGATGGTGGAGCTGGGCTGTGTGTGGGTGTTCTCCTTCAGCCCTCCAGAGCTGCTGTCCCTTCCAACCTTGCTGCTACTTGCTTGTCTCTGGGCAGTAGAATCACAGAATGGTTTTGGTTGGAAAACACCTTTCAGATCATAGAGTCCAACCCTTCCCCCAGCCCTGCCAGGTCCCCGCTGAGCTGTGACCCTCACACCACATCTCCACAGCTTGGAAACCCCTCCAGGGGTGGGGACTCCACCACTGCCCTGGGCAGCCTGGCACAGCCCTGGGCAACCCTCCAGGGCAAGAAATTGTTCCTCAGCTCCAACCTCAACCTCTCCTGGGGCAACTTGAGGTTGTTTCCTCTTGTTCTGTTGCTTGTTCCTTGGGAGAAGAGACTGAGCCCTACTTGACTCCAAGCTCCTGTCGGGAGCTGTGCAGAGCCAGAAGGTCTCCCCTGAGCCTCCTTTGCTCCAGGCTCAGCACCCCCAGCTCCCTCAGCTGCTCCTCCCCACACTTGGCCTCTAAACCCTTCCCCATCTCAAGTCATTGCTTCCCTCCAGCTAGTCATGGGTTCCCAGCACCCTTGGGTGCTCCTGCTCCCACAGCTCAGGGTGCCCAGCTGGTTGGACTTTCCTTACCCCAACAAAACCATGCAGGTTAATACTTTGCTGCACCTTTTGTGGGTGATCTGCCCGTGCATCACCTACGTGGCCTCTCTCTGTCCATTCACACTGCTCTAGACTTGGCAGCAGCAAACTCATTTTCCTCTTTTCATCTCTTTTCATGCTAGGTAGGTAACTCAGATGAGTTAGTTCAGCTCCACACATTGCTGGGGGAGACAGATGCTGGCAGACAAGGCAGGTAGGGAGCCTTCAATTAGCCACACACACCAAAAAAAACCCCAGGGGAAACGTTTGCACTGAGTGACCTTTAATTGGATTTTGTCCTTTAAACGAAGTGTTGGGGAGCTGGGGTGAAGAGCTGGGCTCTGGCTGCCTCAGGCTGTGTCTGCTGGAGGTTCCTGGCACTGGCTAAAAGAAAAAAACCCACTTGTATAGTTTTGTGGAGGGGTGAGCAAAGTGTCACCTGGAGCAGAAGGTTGATGGCAGCACAGCTCTAACCTTTCATTGCTTCTGCGAGAGCACAAAGCCACCCTTGGAGGCTCAGAAATTCTCACTTGCATCTTAAAGGTCAATGAGGAAAGCTTAATATCCAGAGAGGTGTGTGAGAGCAGTGGCCTGGGGGTGCTTCTGCAGCTCAGCCCCTGCTTGGAGGCTCAGCTCAGCTCAGGGGGGGGGTCTGTGGGTCACAGAGTGGGGGGGGTGGCTGTCGTGGGGGGGGTGCCTGTCCCTGCCAAGCCCTGTCCCCAGAGTCTCCCCCCTGCTCTTTTCCAGGGCTGTGTGCCTTTCCAGCAGCCCCTTGGGATGGGTGACAGGCTGTGCTGGGATCACTCAGGGCTGACAAAAGCCCTGTACCAACATCCCCCTTTTCACAGGGATTCGTGCAGACTCAGCCAGAAGTTTTGAGTCACAGGGGTTGGACTGGAGCCCACCTCTGCTGTCCTGCTCCCCAGGGCCCTGCTGCAGCTCCCAGGCTGCCAGCACCCCTCTCACCCTCACCAATCATTCAGAAGGGGATTAAAATAGTTGCTCGTGGCCTGCCCTGCACATCACCACGGCCTCTGCTCTTCCTGGCACAGAGCAGGTCCTGCTCCAGGCTCTGCTTGGCTTGCACTCAGGTCCTTTTGCTCTCCCAGCAAAATCTGGGTGGTGCTGGGGGCACCTCCCTGAGCTGCTGCAGGCTCTGCAGGGTTTGGAAGGACTGACGCTCTGCCTCAGGGACAGCCCCTCCAGGGGGAGACCTCTGCTGGGGGGGTGTGAGGCTCTGCCTCAGGTACAGCCCCTCCAGTGGGAAACCTCTGCTGGGGGTGAGGGGTTTAAACTAAAAGAGGGAGATGTAGGCTGAAAAGAAGGAAGAAATATTGGACACTGAGGGTGCTGAGCCCCTGGCCCAGGCTGCCCAGAGAGGTGGTCGCTGCCCCATCCCTGGAACCATCCCAGGGGAGGTTGGTTTGGGCTCTGAGCACCCTGCTCTAGCTGCAGATGTCCCTGCTCCTTGGACGGGGTGGGACTGGATGAGCGTGAAAGGTCCCTTCCCACCCAAACCAGTCTGGGGTGCTATAAATCTGCACATCCCTCAGGAGATACAATGCTCAGGGTGCTGCAGGGAGGAGGGTGCAGCAGGGGGAGGCTGCTCCTGCCCGTGCTCAATTCCTGGACCTCTGACCTGCCCGAGTGCCTCTGGAGGTGGTCTTGCTCCTCTGAATCCTGCAGGGTTTCACCTTGGAGCCCAAACTACCAAATCTTCCCACCTAGTGCTTGAAACCTGCCTGGATGTGACCCTGGGCACCCTGCTGGAGCAGGGGGGTTGGAGGAGATGATCTCCAGAGGTCCCATCCCACCCCACCACGCTGGGATTCTGAGATTGCCAGCAGAGAAGAGTTTTATTTGCTGCGAGCCTCATTCAGGGTGAGGTGTTTTGTTGCTGCTGCTGCATCTCTGGGTTCAGGCAGTTGTGCTGGAAGCTGGTGGGTGTGTGGGTGAGATAATTGGACGTGGCCCAGCCTCTTGCATTCACTTGGTGTTTAGTGGGCTCCACCAGCAAGCAAAAGGTTGGTTAATTTGCTCCAAAGCTGGGGCTGGCGATGTCTAAAGAATTAAATGGATAATGACAGGAGATGCCAAACTGCAAGACTATTCCTGCTAATTAATATTCATATATACCAGTTTCGTGGAGCATTAATTATGTATTTAATCAAGTCCTGTTTATTCTAGTTTATCTTTGTACCTTGGGTGGCTGTTACGCTGAAGACTTCAGATTAATTAAAATGTTACTGGTGTATCACAAATAACAATTAGCAAGGTGTGAGTCGAGCTGCCTCCCCCTCCACACTCAGTTTGGAGGAGAACACAATGGGATGGAGCTGGTGGGACCACGAGCCCACCACTGACTCCCCCAGGGAGGGGTCTGCTGAGCTGAGCCAGGCTGGATGCAGGCAGGGGGGTGAGCTCTGAGGGTTCCTCCAGCCTTAGGGGTGTTGCAGGAGGAGCCCCCCCATGCTGCTCTGGGTGAGGTGGAGGGATGGAGAGCAGGGTCTGGGCCACCTTCTGCAGCCATCCTCGTGCCACGAGGCTACCCTGAAATTTGGGGTGCCCACAGGGGCGTGGTGGGGCTCTGCACCCTGCCTGGGTGGTTCTCAGGGGGTGTCTGCAGGAGACAGTTCCCTGGTGGGTGTGTGGGTTGTGGCACTGCCCTGCCTGCCCTCCTCTGGCAGCCAGGGGTCCCTCAGCACCCCGAGCAGGGCAGCACCCTGCTCTGCAGAGCCCGGGTGGGCAGGGGGGATGCTGCCAGCCAGCCTCACGTTGCCAAGGAAACCAGGATTTTCCTTCTCCTTCGGGATGCCAGAGGGCAGAACGGGGCAGCCCCGGAGCCCTGAGCAGAGCTGGACTCGTCTGTGTGGCTCCAGCCCCTCCTGCAAGGACAGATTTTCCCTTATTTTCCATGTTTTCCCAAATGTCACCAGTCAGAGGGGTCTGGGAGGCAGCAGATGGGAGGTGGCAGCAGCACCACGGCGTGCACAGAGCCACCAGGACCTGCTGTGAGGTGGCCCCGACCTCCCCTGCTCACCCCCAAACCCCACGTGGCTCCACTTGAGGCTTTCTCTCCAGTTCCCATGGCCAGAAACCCATTAGCAAGCTGGAATTTCATGGGTTTAATGAAGGAGCCAAGCAAGGAGCAGGACAGTGGGAGCTAAATACAGAACAAATTCACCTCTGGCAGCAGAGGTGCTGCAGGAGGAGGAGGAGGAGGGAGGGGTGCTGAGGGATTGCTGCAGGAAAAAGGGAAGAGCT